ACAAGAGATAATTCATTTATAGTCTGGGGGCTGAATTATCCCTCCCCTGAAAGAATCTGGCTCGTCGGTCTTTGTTTATATTTTTAGCACACAAGTGAGAAATACCTTTACGCGGTTTGTGTGATAAGTAATATATTTTAAATATATGAAACTAAAATTTCTCAGATTTTATTTATTTTTAATAATATAATTTAAACAATATAACCATTTCGATTTCCAGTAAATTTATCATGTTTTAATTTAAATTCTATTGCTAATTGTTTTACTTGTTCACTAGTTCTATTTTTATTAACACAAAACCATTTTTGTTTACGTTTATTATTTTCTTTTCATCTAAATCTCCATGCGTTATGTTTAGAAACAAAATCAATCCCATTTAAACCTGAAGTATTGGTTTTATATAATTTTGTATTTAATAAATTTTGAGAATTTGTAACTTCTCTTAAATTTTTTTCTCTATTATTTAATCCATTACGATTGATATGATCTATCATAAACCAATCAGAATGAACTAATCGATGAAACCTCTTTGTTGTTTTATTTAAATTTGTTTTTGTATAATATGTATTTTTTTCTTTAGAACTATACCAAAGATGATTTTTAACAAGTTGATAATGTTTTAAATCAGTAATCATGATTTGATTTTGTGTAAGTTTAACTTGAAGATAAAGATTTCCATCTTGATCTTCTACGTAATGAATTTGATTTTTAATCTTTCCTTTATGTTTTTTTCCAAAGTACCACTTTGATACTTGAGTAAAAGTTTCGTTCATGTTTAACTCATTAATAAAGTAATTATTGATATTTTATAATATTTGAATTAATAATTAAATAAATAAATAAATATTTAAATAACTGAAAATCTCGTTTATAAATTAAAAAAAAATGAAGTTTATAAAATTAATTATCATTTTATTTTTTCTCATGTTTTCTTGTGCTAAACATAATAATGAAAAGGATAATGATAAAGTTTTATTAATCGAAAAGATAATTAATAATACAATATATTGGAGTTATGAACTAAACTGTAAATCACTAATTATAAATTTAACTAATAACGATTTCGACATGAAATGTTATTACGAAGGGTGTGAAAATATATATTAATAATTTGTTACCCGACATCTGTATCTCTTACTAGAATTTCTTTTATTAATTAAGAAATTTTCTTCTTTCCAATCAAATCCGATAATGATGTTTTCAATATTTTCGTTATTAAGAATTTCATTGAGTAAATTTTCTGTAAAAACGTGATATTTAAGATCAGGCGATATTACTTTTAAATACACTAAAGTTTTCGAGTTTTTAAATTTTTCATAAATAGTTTTAATGTTGTTGATATTTGTATTAATATAGCTAAGACATCTTAATTTTTTCAATGATATAAAAAAATCTAATATTTCATCTTTTTTTTCGGTAAATGTAATATCTCTCAATCTGATATTTGTGATATTTTCCGAATTGATTTTTTTAAAAATATCGAGAAGACTATTTCGTTTTTTATGTCTAAGGACGATTCCATATATGTTATTGAATTTAAGTAAATCACTAGGATGGGTGGTATCTATATAAATATTTCGTAATTGATTATGTTTTGAATT